CATCTATGATTCAAAAGAATTTTTTGTTTTGATCTACTTTAAAGTTTTTCCTCTCTGAATATAGCTAATCGTTGAGATTTGGCATTTGTATTCAAATTTCAGTCTTGCCCAAAAGAGTAAAATTCTGACAATGACATGCTTTTCTGTTCCTAGATATTCAGAGAACATGGTTTTCAGATTCTCATTTTAAGACTCAACATTTATGACTTTTTTTATTTGAAACCTAGTTCCTTCGATGGTACCTAGAATTTTAGTTCTGTGAACCAAGTTCCAACTGTTGAGGTTCTACCAGTCATACAGCCATGACTTTTCAAACTATTTTATGATTCAATTAACTAGTGTTACAAACTTACAATCCACCCAAATCACAGGTCTGGTTTTTGCAAGAAGAGAAACTGCCAATTGTTAGCAGTTCAGAGGAGCATGGTCATAAGATTTTGATGAAATCACCCTGGCAAATGTTGCAGTCACCGGTTGGATCTGGAGGTGTCATTAGCTTGCTTTCATGCCACAATATGATTGAGAATCTTAGCCAAATGGGTTTGGAGTACATTCAGGTCAGACACTCAGTTGAATTTATCACAATCAATCACAAATTAGTGCATTATTCATGTAAAGAATGTTATCACACTTACAAAATTGGGAAGAGTTAGCTCCAAACTGATAATTAGGTTCTTCATCTGACTTGCATTCTTGTTTTCGTTCTTGAATGAGTTTTTTCTTGTATTCTTCTTTTTATCATATGATTGTGCTTCCTGCAGATATGCAGCATCAAAAACAGATGTATTGGTGGAAGCTCCCTTCTCCTTGGGTTTGCTCACTCTCAAAATGCTGACGTTGGTGTCCAGATTCCTCAAGATACAATGGATTTAGAAGAGAGCTTTGGCATGGTTTTCTCAATGAATTTTATGAAAAAATTGGCAAGACAGACCAATAAACTTCAATTCTATGCAATACCCACTCTGAGTTCGCAGGTTGAGATGGTTGAGAAGAAGTGGGTTGATGTTGTTCCTTCCTCCCCAAACTCATACGAACTTTGTTGTACAATTTGTAGTTGCCTAAATGCTTGTTCTCCGGATAAGGTTTGCACAATGGAGATCACAGGTTAATGTATGAACCATAAAGAGCTTTTGGCTTTTTGGCCTTCCTTAGTTCAAAAGAGTATAATGTGTATGCAACCTTGATTCCGGTTCCCCCTGGTTGCCTCTTGTTCTCCTTCCACTTCTTTTCTATTCACTTTTTTACCTGTAATGATTTGTTGATAATGTTTGTTGCCAACAAATTCATATGGTCCTGACTAGGAAAACAGTAGTTTTATAGTTTTTTTTATACAAACTAGGCATTTTATAACCGTAATGCTTCTAAGCTCTCTGTTTGTATTAGTGAAGTTATTATGATTTATTTGTTTGGAGCTGATGCTTGATTTTTGTTTCCGTCAAGGAGGTAAGTAGCAGAGATGGCGGTGCCACTGTTGTTGAAGAAGATCGTGAAGATGAGGGTCAAGAAGTTCAAGAGACCCCAGAGCGACCGCAAGATTGCTGTCAACTTATATAGATCTGCTGCATCGGTCTTGTTCTGTTGAAATTAGGAAGCTCGGTTAATAGGTGTTTAAATCTTTCTTTGCAAGCTCGGTTTTTAGGTTTGAAGTTTGCTTTCCCCCTTTTTTATGTTTTCTACGTGGTTTCATTAGGGATGTGATGATAAGTTCTGTCGCCCCAGTCTTATTTGCATATTTTGATGCAAGGTGGTGATTGACACATTATCTGATTCCATCAATGTCTGTTCTTGTTAGTGTTAGTGCAAAGATAATGTAGTTTAGGGATTCTGTCAGTTCTAAAGTTCTTTGACATTTTTGAAGAGCTCTTTTTTTTTTTTTAATAATTTTTTTGAGTTGGGTTTTGTAAGGATATGATGATAGAGATCATGACACCCAGTCTCACTTGCTTTTGCAATATGGTGAGCAAGCGATTGATCATCTGATCCATGTAGCATAGAGAGCAATTAGCAGACAAAATTGTTTTTGTTTTTTTATTGTGCATACTAAATTACGTTGTATGTGATGATCCTATTTGATGTATAATCATGTTTTAGTTACGTATTCTTCTTGGAATATGCAAAGAGGCGTGATGAACTCATCCATCATTTCTGCATTTTGAATGATTAATACAAACATGCACTACCATCTGATCTCTTTTGCATGTTTGCATGCATTACAAATTTCAAGGTTTTTTTTTTTCTTTGGAGATTTCTGTGAATTTGTAATTGATTTCAAGTGGATGGATTTAAATTCTCTCCATTTACTGCAATCTATGATGGAAATGAATCATAAGACCTGAGTTAACTTTGATGAGTTACAATTATCACCATCTTTCGACTGAGATTGCAGATTCTAACTGAAAATAAATTGTTCCTATATCTTTTTCATTTAGAATTCGGTGACTGTCAGAGATCATTTTGTATTGTTTTCCTCTTGGGCAAGTAGAAAAATTCTATTGTTAAAGTTTTATTGCTCATGGTATCTGATGTCCAGTATTATTCCTTTATAGTTGGACATTCGTTTGAAGGGCAGATATAAATATGGAACAGGTCTTGCGACACTGTTAGCTAGCATTTGCATAGGCTCTCTGTTACTTTAACCCTGCTCACATCTTTTGCTGTTATATTTTAAAACTGGTTGTTATCTATATTTCCTACTGCATCATTATGATAACAACAGGGGCTGATTCATTTTTATTTGAAATCAAATCATGGTTGACAGCCAAACTGGCGTAGACCAAAGGGTATTGATGCTCGGGTTCGAAAAAAGTTCAAGGGATGTACTTTGATGCCCAACATTGGTTATGGTTCAGATAAGAAGACTCGTCATTATCTTCCAAATGGCTTCAAGGAGTTTGTTGTGCACAATGTCAAGGAGCTTGAGCTGCTCATGATGCACAACAGGTATCTTAAATTTTTTTCAAACATTCATTACATATTCAGCTTTGACATTTTCATCCCAATTGTTTATTGTTTTCCCTTGCTTTGTAGGACTTACTGTGCTGAGATTGCTCATGATGTCTCCACAAGGAAGAGGAAGGAGATTGTGGGGAGAGCTGCTCAGCTTGATATTATTGTTACTAACAAGCTTGCTAGGTTGCGCAGCCAGGAGGATGAATGAGTGCAGACATGATCTACTGAAACAAGTAGTCATTTTATCAAATTTGGATAATTCTGCTGTTTTTTATAAGATAGTCACACCCTCAATGTTGTTTCTATTAATGTTAATGATTGTACAATCCTGGGGATGTACCCCTATAGTTACGTCTGCCACTGGTCAACTTTCGGATACTTTTTCCTCCAACAGTGCTGCCCTTGTTTCTCGAACAGTGTTTACTTGTCTTTGATGTTTCTAGTTCGAAAAGAAAAGGGTCTCGCTCGTTGTAAGAGGAAAAAGACTATCATGTGCGGAATGGCCGAAATAGCTGTTTTTGTTGTGCATTTGCATTTATGCATGGTACCCTTTGCATTCTTCTAAAGCCTAAAATTAAGGCTTTTTTGGTTGGGTTTATTTTTTTTGCCTATAATATTTTACTTTCTAAAGAGTTGATTAAGGTGTTCCGATCGGTAATAACAGAACAGGGCTTAAAACATTGTCGACCATGCTAGCAACGTGACAAAGGAAACAGATTGGAGTTTTTCATAGAATTATTTTATGAAATTTATGCAAGTAGAAAGAAATACCATCTGTATTCTTTATTCCGAAAGCTTAAATTCAACGGTAGTCTCTAATTCTAGGTATTTAATTTAAAAGATCTTCTCAATCTCTCTTAACATCCTTAAGATACTGATTTCTGATCTTTTTAAGCACTGCCACAACATCCATCATATTTCTTCTTTCTTTGGGTGCTTCTGCACAGCAGTCCAAAGCTAGTTTCAGAACAGATGATACACAATTTGCTTTGGCAATGAAATGCTCCTCCTCCTCGTCCTCCATCAAAGTGGCATCAACAACTTCAGTCACTGAATGAGATAATGACTCATTCACCCAAAACTTCAAGCTCATTTCTCCAGCAAACATTTTGGTTGTGGGTTTCTGTCTTGTGAATATCTCCATCACTAAGATGCCATAGCTATAAACATCCCCTTTTCTGGAAACCATTCCCAAAGATCCATACTCTATCAAATTATAATAGACACAATTAATTTTATCTTTTGCATTGGTAAATTTAATCTAAAACAAGTGAAAAAGAGGAGGGGGTGAATGAATTATCACCTGGTGCCATGTAGCCTATAGTGGCTATTTGCATTGTTTGCGTCATAGATGTGCCTTCTCCTAGAAGCTTGGCAAGGCCAAAATCCCCGACATGTGCAACCATATCTTCATCAAGCAGCACGTTGTTAGGTTTCAGATCACAGTGGATGATTGGAACTGAATGTCCATGGTGGAGATATTCTAGAGCACAAGCTACATCAATCATTATGTTCAATCTTTGTAGGATATTTAAATGATATCCATCAGAATATAACCACTTCTCCAATGTCCCATTAGGCATGAACTCGAGCACCAAGGCTTTGAAGTCTTCATTACAACAACTGCTAATGATTTTGATCAAATTTCGATGTTGAATATTGCATAGTACTTCACATTCTGTGTCAAAACTCTCGAGTACACCCTCTATTTGTAGATTGAAGACCTTTATTGCAATGTTCATTCCATTGCGAAGTGTCCCATTATATACTGACCCAAAACTCCCCGTGCCAACTAAGTTTCTTTCATTGAATTTATTAGTTGCATGTTGAAGCTCTTGGTATGAAATTCTCTTCCATTTTGCTAGACTTGGCAAATTTTCTTCATCCATGGATTTTTCTTTTGATTTATGTTGTTTTTTGAAGATGATGATGCCGATGACAAGGGAAAGTATCAATATGGTAGCTGTTACAAGTGACAACACTAATCCAATTAGCACATGGATTGATGTCTTACGGAGCTTACATGGAGCCACTTGAAATCTTGGCAAACCACAGAGGGCAGTGTTTCCCATGAATGACTGAGCAGAGAAGTTTCTGAATGATCCTCCAGTTGGGATTTCTCCTTCAAGTCTATTGAAAGATACATTGAAGAATTTGAGATAAAAAAGTCTTTCCAAAAACTTAGGAATCACTCCGAAGAGAATGTTGTTAGAGAGATCTAGAAATTCTAAGCTTACCAATCCATCGAGTGATTGAGGAATGTTACCTTCTAATACATTTCTTGCCAAGGAAAGATAAGTAAGATCTTTGAGATCCCCAATTCTGTTTGGCAAATTGCCTGATAGCTGATTTCTAGATAAATCCATTATGATCAACACCTTTAGATTTCCGAATTCTGATGGGAGAGAGCCATTGAAGAAATTTGAGGACAAGTTTACTTCCAAGATATATTTAAGGCTCCAGAAGGTTGAGGGTATGGTGGAAATTAATTTGTTGGAATCTAAGTATAGGGATCGTAAAGAAGTTAAATTGGCTAAGCACTCTGGCAAGGATCCATTTAGCTGATTGTAATCCAATTCCAATTGATATAATCTCTCTAATTGACATAATTCATTTGGAATTGCTCCTTGCAGCTTGTTTTTGCTGATATACAGACCTTGGAGCTGTTTCAATCTTCCAATTGTTGTTGGAATTGGTCCAGTCAAATAATTACAAGAAAGACTCAAAACTATCAAACTGCTCAAGTTGCCAATTTCTAGAGGAATGTTTCCTTGAATTTTGCAATCGTGTGCAGTTAAATATTGAAGAGATGTGGATAGGTTCCCAATTGAAGCTGGAAGGATGCCATTCAATGAATTAGAAGATATATCTAATTTTATCAAAAATTTGCAGTTTATCAAGGAGGAGAGAAAGTTTCTTTCTGGAGTGGAGAATTCAAAGAACATGTTTTCACGAAGGCGAAGCTTTTTGAGGGATCTTAGTTGGCCAAGTGAATTGGGGAAAGGGCCAAAGAACAAGTTAGTGCTTAGGTCTAGAAAGGTAAGTAAGGAAGAATTTGAGATAGAACTTGGGAAAATGCCACTAAATTTATTGTGAAACAAATATAGCTCGGTAAGCTCTGGAAGTCCAAGTCCAATGTTTGAAGGAAGATGGCCTGAAAGGTTATTCATTCCTAAGAAAATGATTTCCAAGGTTGAGATGTTGAAGATGACGGGAGGAATGGAACCAGTCAAGAAGTTGTATCCCATAGATAAAAGTCTCAAGGGTAAGTCGCCAACCTCCTCTGGTATTTCACCTGTCAAACATATAAACAAATTAATTGATAAGCTTTTTAACTTGTATTCAATTTTGCATTAGATTGGTATATCCAAATACTTGAGTAAAGTGTAGTTTCTAATATCCTTTGAAATGGTTCTAGTGAGTTTATTGAATCTTACCTTCTAAGTCATTGCTACCGAGATTTATTTTAGTAAGTTCGGTCAAGTTCCCAATGCTTCTTGGGATATATCCAGTGAATCTATTAAATACTAGAGACAAGATCTGAAGCTTTTTGCATTTGCCTATACTTGAAGGAATTGAGCCGTTTAATTGATTCTCATCCAGATTAAGCTCTTCAAGACTTGGTAGATGGCAGCACAAGTCAATAGGAAGGGTACCAAAAAGGTTATTTCTATAAAGAGAAATCCATCTTATGGAAGAGATATTGAAGATATTTGGTGGAATGGGACCTGAGAGGCTTGCATTTCCAGCTGAAAATTTTTCCAAATTTTGAAGATTGCCCATCTCTTGTGGTATTTTCCCTGAAAAAAAAATAGGGGTTTAGAGTTTAATTGAGGAATGATGAATCTTTATTTAACTTTCAACAAATACTAAAAAAGAAAAAAGACAAATTAGAAAAATATAAAATCATACCTCTTATTTTTGTATGTGCAAGATATATTATCCTTAGCTTAATTAAGTTCCCAACATTTCTTGGTATAGTTCCTGTAAGTTGGTTGTTTTCTACTTTAAGAGTCTCCAACTTTGAAATGAAACTAAAAATAACAAGAATACACTCAAAAAAAATTTATAGGGTTTGTATTAGATATTGCTACCTATGAGGGAATTTTTACTAATGATAGTAATGTTGAGAGTAAAGTGCAGTTACTCAAGAATAATTAATTTAAATTTTATGAAAAAAAAGAGAAAACATATGGAATAATTCTACCTTCCAAATCATTGGAACCAAGATGTATTTCAACAAGTTGGGTTAAGTTCCCAATGCTTATTGGGATGTAACCAGTGAATCTATTAGACCATAGTGACAAGATCCGAAGCTTTTTGCATCTGCCTATACTTGAAGGAATTGAGCCATTTAATTGATTCTCATCTAGATAAAGCTCTTCAAGACTTGGTAGATGGTAGCACAAGTCAATAGGAAGGGTACCAGAGAGGTTATTTCTATATAGAAAAATCCATCTTATGGAAGAGATATTGAAGATATTTGGTAGAATGGGACCTGAGAGGCCTGCATTTCCAATTGAAAGTTTCTCCAAGTTATGAAGATTACCAATCTCTTGCGGTATTTCCCCTGTAAAAAAAGTTGAGAATTTAGAGTTTAATTGAGGAATGATGAGTCCTGATTTAACTTTCAATAGATACTAGCAAAGGAAAGGAGAAATTAGAAAAATCTAAAATCATACCTCTTATTTTTGTTTTTCCAAGATATATTATTCTTAGCTTAGTTAAATTCCCAATATTTCTGGATATAGTTCCAGTAAGTCGGTTGCTTCCAACCCTAAAAATCTCCAACTTTGAAAGCAACCAAATCTCATTTGGAATGCTTCCGTCAAGAACATTCTTGCTCAAGTCCATGAGCCTTAAACGTTGTAACTTCCCCAACTCTGGAGGAAAGTGACCATGGAAATTATTTCCACTCAAGTTGAGAGAAACAAGGAATGAGAGGTTTCCCAAGTGGGGAGAGAGGCTGCCAATGAGGTTCATGTTTGGAAGATCCAAGGCTGTGACTCTATGATTAAGAGCACTGCAGGAAACACCAACCCAGCTACAAACTAAAGTGGCGGAAGACCAGTTGGAGGACAAGATATGAAAAGGATCAGAAGTGATGTGAGCTTTGAATTCAAGAAGGGCAAGTTGGTCTATAGTGAAGTTTGGTTGAGACATGGCTAAGGCAGCCATAAAGCATTGCATCAACAACATTGGAAAGAAGATAAAGCCCATGATCATGTTCTCCATTGATGCTGACAATAGCTGCAACTCCAAATCAAAGAGATGGCATGATAACAAACACTTTCCACAGTTAATAGATACTTTTGCTCTAAAATATTAAGCTGAAAAAGAAAAAAGAACTTGTAGTTAATTGTAAACCAAAAATTCATGCTAGCTAGTTTGATTTTGAATCAAACATTCGGTAACTAAAACGTTTTATATAAAAAAAGATTAGTTTGAGAGAATTTTTTTTTTATTAAATAGTTATTCTCAACTTAAGCCCTGATAGTTATCAAATTGCTAAAATAAGGAAATGGAATGAAATAAAGCAATTAATTGTATCGAGAGAAAAGATAAGAGCCAGAAAATCTAACCTGCTTAAGTAGATTTTCGGACTAATTAGCGTCAAAATACATCACCCAAAAACAGAGACACAGTGCTAAACTTAAGTTGGTATTCAGAGAGAACATCAAACAATGCTCCAGAAACAAGCCATGGAGAAGTATATATAGTGGTTAAATAAGACCAATGACTTGTTTGGTTTAAATGGAAAGGAGCTCAGTTCTCTTTAAGTAAGATTTTGAGTTCGAGTTTTGTGAATGAAGAAACAGATGCTATGAGAGCTTTCTTTTTATGGAATCTAATACGATTCAATTTTGAATTAGTCGAAACTCAATGTAATTACTAGATATAAAGATATTAATACTAAAAAAAAATAACGTCAAATAAGAAGAAATACAAGTGTGAAGGCAGACGCAAACAATCTGAGAAGTTGGTTTGGGTCACTTCGAAAGGCTTTGGAAAAGGATAGAAAAATTCGATAGGAAAATTCCGTTGTCGCCATCCAGCTTCCAGATCAAAGTCTATTCTTTAACTACTAATTGGTAATTCCGTTCAATTGACTTGCAGCTTGCTGACTTTACAATCCCACCGAACCCTTTGGAATCACGAGACTTAGCAAAACGCAAATATAACCATCCCCTTGCACAAGGCAAGTGGTAGCATCACCATGTTCTGCTAAATA